AAAAAAAAAAAAAAAAAAAACAGAAAGAAAGATATGCATCACAATTAAATAAGCTAATTATGACTACCCCTACAATCGGCGACAAAATTGTTGACACATCGATCAACCCTTTTAATCCCCTATTTCGTCACTGCGATCCCTTTTTGCCCTCCTAGGTTGTCCTTTCAGCCCCCTCCCCCCCAAACAATGTTGTGTGGCAATTGCTGTGACCTTGAGCTACAAACAAGCACCATTGAATGAGCGAGCGGGGTCTTTTCCACAGTTTATTGCACGATATAAAGAGTGGTGTTATTTGGTGCACTAACAGTACTATTGAAAGACAATGTGTCATCTAATTATGTCGCCCATTGTAGCTTTTTCTTTTTCTTTTTTCTTTTTGTTTTTTTTTGAAGACTTGACCTTTTGGAAAATCAAGTCGACTAAAAAAATGTATAATTCAATGAGAACTTTACATACCTTATCTTTAACAAACATCCTTAGTCCCATCCTTTCAATCCCAGCCCAGAGATGTTCAATAGTTTTGCGATGTCTTTTCCATGAATTCTCAAGTCCCTAATGAACAGATGTCAAAGCTGAGGTTATAAGTCACAGTGTTAATTTTACCTTTTGTACTTACTGAGGGACTTGATAATTTTGGCAAGATCTTATTAAGTTCCCCTTAGCTACTAGGTCTAGTAAAACAAGTACCAGACACCTGTTTTTGGCATTCTTGCAAACACGTTAACGACTTCAATGTTATGACCAGCTTATTATTAAGCAATAGACCACAAATTTTTATGGTTTGTAGGCTGATAAACCACGTGGGATGTTGGAAGAACGCGAGAAGAATTCTTAAATCACGAGCCGCAGGCGAGTGATTTACGATTCTTCGACTGCAATCTACAATCTGCAACATGCAATCAACCAAGCCCATAGCTTGTGCAGAGGACTTTGTGGCTGTAGTCCTTCCCACACATACAGCTGTACAACCCATGATACAAGTGAATATAAAACAGATCTTAACTTTGAACTGCGGATCCTGTGCTCTGAGGAAAGCTGGAGCAAAAAGGAACGAGCCAAGATAGTAAAATAGCAGAACAGGTACTGAATGCGTGCAGAGTAGTATTTGCAAACTAAGGCTTTGACTGTGTTGTGTGCTTATCATACTAGTACCTCCTCAGCTATCTGTGCCAGGCTTTCTCTCAAAGCATAAACCAGACTTACTGCTCCTGTGTGGTGATATCTAAACAGAAACAGTAATTAGGTTTAACACATTTAATTTATACCCAAAATTAACGATCATATGCCAATATTATAAAAGGTAGGCCTTTTGCAACAGTTGGTGAGGTGACTGATAATTTCTAAACTTTTAGCTACAGTTATATGAATTTCAGAACTGGAAAGATCACGGTTTAAATAGCCAGAGCACCAATTTTCAAACCACTGCCCTTTAGTGTAAGTTTAAGATGAAATGACGATTTAAATTATGCAAAATTAGAAGGTTTTTGTATGGAAACGAGGAGCTTTACCCTTCAGAGATCTTTTCCGCTATTAATCAATACAAAAGATAATTGCTGGCATATAACTATAGGAGATACAAAAAGGGATGAACTATTAGCAAGAGTAGGGCAATTCAGGATCTCAAACCGAAAGGCAAAGAGTTTTTGGCAGTTTGAGAACACACAAAATTACAAGCAGGATTTGTACGGAAAACCACTGGAGCATGACTGGAGGGCAAGGCGACTTCTTCCATAACAAATTCTTGTAAATTCTCTACCGTCCATAAAAACTCGCTCTGAAAGAATATAAACCTGAAAATTTGCATGTAATCTTCTTTGTCAATGTTCTTTCCATTTCTGATAACATCTTCCATTATCAGTATGTTCTTGAAAGGCACGTCATGCGACCAACTGTTGCAAAATGCCTATTATCATGAGACATGGATTAACCTGAGTAAGAAATTATATTGATTTACCTTAGAATATGAAAATTTATTATAAATAGTATGAAGTATTTCTCCTGTTTGTAATAGTCAATAAATATTGAAAACAATTAGGGATGGTCTAAAAGAGTACTGTCAATCAGTCACAGAAAACAACTGAGATCAAAAGTTTGCTGTCTACCTTCTTGGCCCACCATCACAACCCCAGTAATTCCCCAGTTCTTTTATGTCCAGGTAAAAAGATGCCACTTTGGTTTTCCGGCTGTTTACCTTAGCACTGAACAAAGCAAAAAGAAGCAACATAGGTTAAGTTCATTTCATGTTCAGCTAAAAGAAGAAGTCGGGTTTCATTCCTGATTGTGTTTCCAAGTCTCGTGAAACAGTAATGCCTAAGTTCTTCCATGTACTATATAGCCTAGGAGTTAGTTTCCTGACATATTTACTGGCAGCTGCCTGAAAGGGAAATATCTACTAGAAAGAGCGGGAAAACCTGAGAATGCAAGGAAAAGCCATATTTCTGTGCTTAAGTATTTAAATATTTAAAAAATTCAACAGTGAATAAGGCTTAATTTAATAACATAAACATTTTGATTGACAGTGGACACAGTTACGGCCTGAATCTTGCAAATCTTGTATTTCTAATTCCTGACTTTTCAATATTTGCCAAGCCAAATCTTAAATCCTCAAATCTTGAATTTTCATTATTTGGTGACACTTTGAATACTTTTCCAAATCTTCAACTTTCAATATTTAGCAGGGCAAAGCTTTAACATCCAAATCTTGAATCTTCAATATTCAGCAGACAAAATCTTGAAGTTCAAATCTTGAATTTTCAATGTTTGGCAGGCCAAGTCTTGAATTATCGAATTTTGAATTCTCACTATTTGGCAAGCCAGATCTTGAATACCCAAATCTTAAATTTTCAATGTTTGACAAGCCAGATCTCGAATATCCAAATCTTGAATATACAAATTTGACAAAGCCAGATCTTGAATAAAAAAATATATTAAATTTTCAATATTTGACAAGCCAGATCTTGAATATCCAAATCTTGAATTTTCAAAACTTGGCAAGCCAAGCCATGGGTCTTGCAAAATTGTTGACAAATTTCAAGGGTCTTGCAGTCTAATTTTTTAAAACACTTTGAAGTCTGGTCTTGAAATTTAAAAAATCCCAGGCTCACAAAGAAAAATGCTAGTTTTGCCTTCGAGCAAAGTGTAGCATTTACCATTCACCACCCCTGATAATCTGAGGATAATCTCATCATCAGGTTAACATCTACATTGTGCTGTGTTGCAGTGGTTTGGTAAAAGCATCGTTAAAGGTCTTATACTTAGTTAATATAAACTTTGAATTTGATCAGACCAGCAGAGATGCCCATGGAAATACATCATCAGGAGCACACATTACTTCAGAACACCTCTCGCTCAATCTACATGTAAGTATCTCTTTATTTCAGGCATTACTGCTCCAAGGATGACACTTACATGGCTCTGGGACTGAAAGTAATTGGTGCAATTCCAGGAGGTGCTCCAAGACACTTCTGAGAACCTGAATAGACACAGTCCAGGTCCCAGTCATCAGTGAAGAAAGGTGTTCCACCAAGGGAAGCAACAGTGTCCACAATTATTAAGCAATTATGCCTGCAATCAATAATCACATAAATAAGAAATTCTAGTAATCAGAGGAGAACTGAAAAGTAACTTACTTAGAACCTTAAGGCTTCACAAGCCAGCACTCAACTTCAGATTTTGTTGTACAGAGTTGGCAGTTGGAATGTCCATTGGTACTACCCTACTTGGAATGCCAACTCATCACAGCTTCCCATATCACAGTGATGGTAAAGCACCTTACCTAAGAAAACAACTCACAACGACTTAGGGGTCAATTGATCTAGAATCAAAGCCGGTAAAGTACCATGCACACTGTTATGCAGGCATTGTATGTGACTTCTATTAGACAGTTTCACTTACTTACTTCCTTTCATTCCATAGAGGGGTGAGGACAAATCAGGCCCTATTAGGGGTTTTTGCGATACAAGATATTTAATAGGCAGGATATGTTTGGGAAAAATTAATGGGATATGGGATATTAAGTTCAGATAAAATGGGATACTCCAATAAAAAGGGAGAAACAATGACTAAGAATGGTGTGAATACTCAACTCAACTCAACTAACATAGCAATATTTAATCGTGAGCCACTGAGGGGATGGCAAGTGTTGAATGATGACAAAAACAATGGCTAAAAGAGCTAGGCAAAACACAGATCTGTATAAAATTGCTTTTTTAATTCTAATCAACAATGATTTAGATAAACATATACAGGCAAAAACTAACGATGGATAAATCCGACGTTTCGGCGACANCTTGAAATCGCATATTTAATTAGTTTCCCTTGACAATGGCGCCAAGATGTCGCCAAAACGTCGGATTTATCTATCGTTAGTTTTTGCCTGTATATATTTTTTAATTCTGTGATGGATAATTTGGTTTTAATAACAGATCATTTGCTTTTCATTTAGCTGGGAAGTACTCTATCAAAGGATCAGTGACACCAGGAACACAGTGCCAACAGCAGCCTAAATGATACCTTATACAGTTGGAGATCCAGACCTTGAGCTAAGGAAGTGTGGGGGGGGGGGGGGGGGGGGATTTCATGACTACACGCTGAATGGCAGCAAACAATATTAAAATATTAAGGGATGTGTTTTAAAATGTTAAAGAATTACTGGGATAAGTTTGCCATCACCAAGATCTCAAGTATTATACTCACCANGGGCTTGCCCTGCTGGCTTCTCTTCCTTCTGCGATTCTTTTTTACCCAAAATAAGTGGAGGCCCTGGGCCCCCCAGGCCCCTCCCCTAGATCTGCCACTGCGATATAAGAAGGAGAACCTCAAAAACCATCATAATACTTTATCCCACAACACATACCCAGGGGTTTTATGAACGTTTTCAGCAGGAGGGCAACAGGTTTTCACAGGGGGGGNCTGAACTGAACTTCTTGATAAGAAAAACTTTCCTCTGGAAAGTCAAACTAGGTGGGCAAAATCATCCGCACAGCTGGTCAATTTGCCCAGTGCCACACCTTAATGAAACCCTTGCCTACCTATAAAGCCTTTCTAAAGACTGATCTTACAAGTTTTGTTTCTTAGCTCACCTGTGGCACAAAGCTCCAATGCCATCCAGTGGCTGACATATTCCTGAGGAAGACTCACTATGAACAAGAAACAGCACTGACGGGTTGTGTTCTTTGAGACCCTTACAAAGAAAATAACAGTTTACAATGATAAATTATTAGCAAAATAGAATGAATCTTAGAAACAATTAAAATAGATTCTTAAACTCACAAATGCATTGCTACTAAGCATTGTCTCAAATAAATAAAGAAAGGGTGAAGTAAACAATACAGGTCATAATCCTGATTACTTCACATATTCAAAACCCACCATAAAGCCTCATTTGACTACAGTTCAACCCCTATTAAACAGCCACCCTCAGGGAAATGGATAGTGGCCACTTAAAAGGGATTGGCTGCTTAACAGAGGTAAAAAGAAAAGAAAAGCCCTAATGGAGACTTTGATTACTGACCGCCTTACAGGGGTGGCCATGTAATAGGTGGCCACTTAATATGGGTTGAAATTTTCTGTATGCAAAACTTCTGTTGCCTTTGTGCTGTTTTAACATGAGTATTTTTCATTTTTGTTACTTTCAGGGCATTTGCTTATCATAAAAGTTATTTACAATTTGTGTTTTCAGAGGAAGGATTGGCATAAAGGCTATTCATAAAGCCATATACTAAATCTCTCACCTGTTCAATTTCACCATACGTATGATATCCTCCAGGTGACTTTTCAAGTACTCTTACATCACATCCTTAAAGGTAAATTTGTACTAATACCTCAAGCAACTCTCACGCTTCTTTCAGGGTGTCTGGAAAACCCGAATAGCGAATAGCGAATAGTTGGGAATAGCGAATAGCAAATAGCAGACATAATGCGAATAGTCTTGAATAGTGGTGAACAGTTGTGAATAGTGACAAATAGATCAATAGTCACTGCTTTTGCTCAGCACTGATCAGGATTCATTGAAATTGATCGTGTGGAGCAATAGCGGTTATCCATGGATACTGATATATTTGACCAAGCACGTTCTGTGAAAAAATAATATTATACAAATGTGAGGCAAGTTGTCTGTGATTAGTTTATCAACTGAAAAGACACAAATGAGCTGCTCTGATAACTGACAACAACATTTAAGCTATATCTTGCGTTAATTAATTATCCAAATAAGCAACAAAATTTCAGTGAATTTATAATACCTTTTCTTCACAGGACTCAGGCTAAGGCTGTCCATCGGCGACATTTAGAAAACAGAAAACACAAGGATAACATAATAAAGATGTATAATTTACACTTCTGCAGCGGTAAAAACAGACGAAATTACGTTTAGAAACACCCTTTTTCCTGATAAGCATCTATGCTTTTAAGCGGGAAAATCACATCCCACATTGCTGCAAGGTTGACTACAAGGTATTGGGTACCAAANCCCCCCCCAGCCCATTTGCCTCTAATCACGACTATTAGTAAATATTTGTGGCTGTTTGCCACTATTCGCACTATTCAAGACTATTTGCACTATTTGCTATTTGGGACTATTCGTTATTTGTGACTATTCGCTATTTGCTATTTGGGTTTTTCCAGAAACCCCTTCTTTCATGCTCACCAAACTGCACAACTGCATCATAACTCAATGATGCATGCTGAAGTATGAACATTTGTTAATATTTTTCATATATATCTTGCAAAGCACATGCACATCCATTCATTGCACAAGGGATACTGGACAGGGCTTTAAGCCATATCTGCTGCAGAGTTTCAATGGCTTTTCATACCAATTGTGAACAAAATTATACAAGACAATGTGGTTGAAATTTGCTATTGTTTGAAATATTTCAAACCAATTTAGTTTTTACAAGTGTTTGATAGTGCAGCCATATTTTCCTATGCAAGCCTGCTAGCTTGATCGTCTGCATCTTCCAGAATCACTGAATAGTTCAGATTGTTTCAAATTGCCTAAGAGTTTTCAAATCATGGGTTAGCTCATTTGTAGTTGCTGTGTATTTTTACAATATTGTTAATGCTTGGTTTAATATGAATAAATCGAAACAAAGGGTTCAAATGAATAAATCGAAACAAAGGGAAATAAAATTCAAGCTAGTTTTAACTTTAAAATCAAACCAAAATTTATCATACAAAATTGTAAAGATCAAAATTTAAATCTAGCATTTGCTAATTTGTTTTTGCAAAACAAAAAATAAATTTATAATAAGGTAAATTTCATCATTAAAATACGCTGTGGCTATATGACTGGCAGGCAGTCAAGGTTTTAGATATAACTAAATGACGGGCAGTGGGACTTAAAAAATTTTTATGAAGTAAAAAGGACATTCATAGAACAATGTAACAGGTGTCCCCAAGAGGCATCGAAGCCGGGATGACCGCATTGCAAGCAATACTCATGATCATTGCACCACCGATACCGACTGGGATCATTAGGAATATTTCAAGTATATATCGTGTTACCCTTACCATCATTGACAGGCTAACCAGAGAGCTATTCCAACTAACCTGAGTGCTATTCAGGCTAACCGGAGTGCTCTTCAGGCTAACCGGAGTGCTTTTTAGGCAAACCCGAGTGTTTTTTACGATAACCGGAGTGCTTTTTAGGCTAACCGGTGCGCTATTTAGCCTAAACTACAAAAATGTTTTGACTGCCGGTCAATTACTCTATTTAAAACCTTGACCGGCTGCCAGTCATTTAGACTCTTCGTTACTAATAGTAAATTATAATCTAAACAAAAAGAATTTATTATGTGATTATGAAAATAATAACAACTACAAATTATTCCAAAAACTCCAATAACTCTTTTGACTCTCAAGAAAACTTATGAATTTTTTCAGAATAACTGAAACCTAACATTTTATTTTCGAGGTTTCCTAAGACACGTGTCACGATTTAATTCGTTTATGGCAGACCGTGAGCTAGCTTTTTCAAGTCTCACCTTGCCGTCCAGCAATTTCTCGAGCTCTCGAACCCCACAAGCCATTAACACACACTAGAATGCGTTCTCCTCGTTCGACAAGGTTCATGATCGAAGCTTCCATCGCCGCATGCCCTGCACCGGTGATAGCAAGTGTATATTCGTTACGAGTCTGAAACACGTACTGAAGACCGGCTTTTGTTTCGTCCATTATCTTACAAAACTCTGGGTGCAGATGCCCTAACAGTGGCATAGCAGATGCATTGTAAGTCCTCATCGATGGATTTGCCGGGCCAGGCCCTAAGAGAAGCACATTTGGTACAGACAGGGGTACAAGCATCTGTTGTGGTACGGATATTTTTGTCTTCCATTCCGCCATCTTGGCTTCGTGGATTACGCAATAGCATTTGGAACGAGGAGGAATGGGTACTTCTGTCCTGTCTGGGGGCCTTGGCACGAGGAAATTTTAAAGCTCTTGTAAAGGGAAAAACATGAGATATGGATTGATTGGCTAGATTCTTGGACTTGAAAAGAAGCGACTGTTTGATTTATTCGATTACAGCACCTACAGAGCTCAAGCCACATACTCAAAAAGAGAACAGAATTCTGACCGGAACTGACATTTGCATTTTCGCTATAAGGTACTTTTTTTTTTTTTACTGTAAACTCTCCGTGCAAGCAACTTTTAGATCTCTTGAAGGTCTGTTGGTGATTTGGTCGAGCGGCTTTAGTTACAAATCAATTAGAGGGTATTCTCGGGAGGGAAAACAGCGTTAAAGATCTTATTTTATAGTCCAAGCATGTAGCGCGCCTAGGGCGGATCCAGGATTTGATGAAGGGGGGTTCGGAGAATTTTCCGTCGAAGGTGGACCCTTCTAAGGGGTCCGAGGCATGCTTCACTCCCCCCCCCTCCCCCCGCCAAGACTTATTTAGGTTCTCGGAATCCTAATTTAAAGCGTGTTGACGGATGACTGTGGTTGTTTAATATCTTTGAAATCATCTCTGTTTTGAGCTATTTAAACAAGAACTACGCTTATAAATTAGATATTTGCAATAATGCTTACCCTCCTGATGACGTAGGAACTAGCCGACCGAAAAAAGCGATTAATTCGCTGCTGCCTTTTTGACACAACTCACGGACCTCAAATTAAACCCTGAATCCTAAGAGAAAAGTGGTTTTCCTTGGGCTTTCGTGCGCCGCTGGCAATCGAAATCTTTGTGAACGATTACACAACACAATGGTGAGCTGATTAACAAAGAGGCTCAGCTTCTGGCCTAAGCTACGGCGCTTAACATGTGACATCTGTCGATAGAAAAACTGTCACTTTTGGCGCCATGTAGAATTTGACAGAAGCATGAATCACGTGTTATTTTACCAAATAGACAAATAAAAAAAGAAAGTGCTTAAATAAAACGGATTTTAGGCATTTAAAACCAGGAAAAGACTCAATATGATTTTCACGCTTTTCAAGCTAGTCCTTTTTTCAGAAGATAAAATATTTGTTAGCGATGTTTGCCCACAAAGGTTCTCGTCAGAAACGGCGCGTATTTAAGCAATCTTTCATCTCATTTAGGGGGTTCGACCGAACCACCCCTGGATCCGACCCAGCGCGCCAATCAATCACATATATTTCTCCGAAGGGACTGTTTTTAGCGGGCTCTAACTCTGCCGGCTAAAAGAGACAGGTTTTCGGTGCGGAGCGGGGTGGGGGGGNGGGGAAAGAATGATTTTTTTTCCGCTCTTGGGTAAAGCTAACGAACAACCACTAGACGTACAGTGCTCAAAGAGCCCAGTTTTCTCTACTTCACCACCCTCGACACCCTCGCCACTCTCCACCCACGTCACTCTAGCATTGCCATCCTCGTAAAAGTGGAGAGGGCGGCAATGGTGACCAAGGTTAAAAGGGTGGCCGGTGGCAAGGGTGGGTTTCAAGGGTTCGGAGGATCTTGGCTAGCTTGGCCGTGAGATGTCAAATGTTGTACTCAGTCTTATAAAACTCCCTCAGGTACGGAGGTAAGAGAAATTAAAAAGCCTTCCAATTGCTGGTCGCGAGTCTCTTCTTTCATCATCAGTAACAGGGGTTTAAGGTCACTCCTCAGTATTGCATTGCGCATCCCTACTTGCGCATAATTTCACGCGTAATTAGCGCGCGCGCATTAAAAATTGGCGGCTTTTTCTTTACGGCTGGACCTCGCCAGAGAGGTAAATCGTCATTTTCTCGCAAACGAGTATGGTGACCTATCATTTTTTTTCTGTTATTTTGAATTGAGTAATAAATTTCTCTGTGTAAAATAAATATGGACCAATTCTCAGTGTAGAACAAAAAACAATCGTCGGAAACGTGAATTTAGCAAGCAGTTGTGACAACATGGTGCTATTATAAGGATTTATTGGGTATAAACAAGGTGCTGTTGCTCCTAAATGAACATGGGGACCTTTCATTTTTATTTCAAAATTTAAGTTCCTATAAGATACACAATCAATAGGCAAAGTTTCACAACTGAAAATCTCAGTGCAGGTTCTATTTCAGTGGAATGACCTTAAAGAGTATTACCGGCAGCGAGGGTCGGGAATTCCACGTTATTGTGTGCGGAAACACTTTTACGCTACTTTAACGGAAATGTGGCGGATTTTAGCGCCACCTTTAGTATATGAAAGCAACGATCATCCATTTTAAGTTGATTCTGAAAGCTAAGATCAAGCGCAGGACGGTAGCTAACCGAGGCACTTGCCACGGTAAACATTTTGAAGTCATTATCCTGCAAGAGGCTCTGTTTCAGTTAAAAAAAAAAAAAGATTTGAAAAAAAAAAATTGTGACAGTGGCGAGGTAACCATCCAAGAGTATGCATACTATGCGAAGGGAAGCTGTCTAACTGATCGGACAACTCGTCCTCAAACCCGTATTCTTCCGGCGGTCAAAAGCCGAACGCCACGCAAATTGTAGGTTCGATATAAATACAAGGAGTTTTTATTTAAGAATAGAAAACATGCACCGTGTTTCTATCGAGTTTTAGTATAAATCTACTAGCGTTCTACATATCACGAACGCCGTTCGCTGATTGGCTACGCTACTCACTATCTATTCTGTGATAGATAGTGAGTAGCCTAGCAATGAACGCTTGTTAACGAACTGGCGGCCGCGTCTTTGTGCGTTTGAAGTTTCTGTGATGAGGATTTAGATAAAGTTTTGAGCGACTGGTAGATTTATACTAAAACAATTACATTGTATTCGCTCTTGATAGTTGACTTGGGCTGCACCCTCGTCAACTATCACGCGATAGAAATCGAGATCAGTGCATGTTTAATAGAAATACGATTTTAAACATAGCAGCGTGCGTATTTTCTTTGGGCTATTTTCTAAATAAGTATACAGAGCGAGCTCTATGACTCAGGTGTTAAGAACACTTACACACATCAAACACTCAAACTTTATTTGCAACTTACAAAACACTGAAATTTTCAGAGTGAACATGTTGAGTTTAAATAAGAATACCATCTATTTCCTTACCAAGGTTAATCTTACTTGTGATATAAAATAACCTTCACCTTGTTACTAAATGGATGGCGAAGCTATGATACTCGAAGTAACTTCTAAATAGTCCTCGCGACGCTTAGAATAACATGTCCAAAATTGAAAACATCACGAAATCCCAAATATTTACCAACAAAAAACGCCTGACCCGAAAGTAATTCTCAAGGCTTTCATATAAATTCTCAATTACTTGGGTTTATATCTACAGACTTAAGAATTAGAACCGCTATCTAAAATTTACAGCATATAAAACAAGAACAAATCAAAAGTACTGCTTAAAAGCTTTCGTTTGAATGCCTCCATATGTACTATGGTTTAATTCATAGCCTCAAAAGTTAGCACCACCCCGTGCGACGTAACAAAAAGTACCACAAGAACGTTAACATCTGAATGGCTTTCTCTTAAACGGTTTCTTTTTAGAATTTTATCGTCAAACTTCAGGAAAATTAAAACGAACCTTTGCAGTCGCAAAAACCACTCTGAGTTCAAGGCCACGCAGGCATTTTTCCCTCTCAAAGTGTGGCAGGTTTATTATTTTAGTTTCAAAATTCAATACCGTTCTTATTTTACAATATAAATGACTGTAAATCACGTAAGAAGAATTCTAAAACCTATTGTTTACGTGAACCCTTTTTTATTCTACACATTTTATTCCACAAATCTAAAAGTGTTTTCTCAATTTCCACCATCCATTCGTATTCAATTAGCCAGATTAATTCCTTCTTCTAGATGAAATCAACTGAAGTGAAATTTCTAGTCCGCTACTAAACCATCCAAAACAGTTGCATTAATTTCCGCTATTTAAATTGCCTTTAGAGGCCAAATGTTCTATTTTACACCAGTGACGATTCAGTCACATTTTCGAAGCCGGAACTTTAGGAACGGCGTTGGACATCTTCTATTGCCTCTTTGAAAAGACGCAAGAACGTGTCCACATTTTCGGTGTACGAGTTATGTCCCATGAATCCTACACGCCACACCTAAAGAATCAAAGGAAACGGTTTGGTTAAAGTTTAATACCTCCAGATTATTATATGGTTGTGTCTCACAAGGACGGAAAACTACCGAATTCACATGTTTTTTGGCTGAAATCGACAATTACCGCGGTCTTGATTTTCCCATTTAGACCGACATCTAGACTGGTTTACATTTTGCGGTGAAAAAGTTGCAAACTAAGATATAACAATATTGACTAATTTCTTCTAAAAATATTAAAGGAAGTGCCAAATAGCCCGGTGAGAAAAAAAGTAAAGAGGATGCGCAACTTTGGCAGATTTTGGTTTTAATAACTTTGCGTATTTTTACCGTTGAACCTAATATAAATGGAAACTTTAAGGTGCCGACTTACCTTTCCAACTGTAGGGCCCATACCACCAACAATTTCTAGCTTGTACCTAAAAGGCAAATAGACACAAACCACCTCTTTAACAAGGACTAAACTCAATTCATAAATATGAAGTGTACTGTTAAGTTATTGAAGTACAAAAAGAAAAAGAAAGAAAAAAAAAAAAACACCTCATTTTCTGCGATTCTCTACGCGATCCACTTATACTATAATGTAAGAAGGGGTACATACTGGATAGCGGTAATTTTAGTTTAATTTTTCACGTGCTTTAGGGAGCTTTAAGGGCGAACGGCAAGCAAAGTTTGGAAAGCGATCGAGGTGAGTAGCATTTACTTTTTTTTCGGTGGGGTGGGTGGGGGGGGGGGGGGGATTCTT